GGGGGGGGTCGGGCTCTGCTCCCAGGAACCAGCAATAGGACAAGAGGGCTCGGTCTTGGGCTGTGCCAGGGGAGGTTTAGGTTGGACATTGGGAAGTTCTTCACAGAGAGAGGGATCAGCCATTGGAATGGGCTGCCCAGGGAGGAGGTGGAGTCACCATCCCTGGAGGTGTTGAAGGACAGACGGGATGTGTCACTCAGTGCCATGGGCTGGGTGACAAGGTGGGGTTGGGTCACAGGTTGGACTCGATGATCTCAGAGGTCTTTTCCAACCTGGCTGATTGTGTGATTCTGTGATTCTGTGATCTCTCTGCAGGGTTAACATGACCGAGGTGGAGCCTGTGCTGGACTTCGCATCCTCCGGGAGGACGGGCCGGCGCAATGCCCTGCCCGACATCCTGGGCTCGCCCGCCGGCGTCAGCCCCGCTGACCTGCCCCTCAAACTGGCTGAGATGTCCCTGAGTGCAGGTAGGCAACGAGGAGGAGGAGGAGGAGGGGGAGAAGGAGGATGGAGAGTGACACGGGGCGGGCAGGAACTGGGGTTCCCGTGCTCATCCCATGTTCTGGCTCCTCACGACACTGAGGGGCTGGAGCGTGTGCAGGGAAGGGAACGGAGCTGGGAAGGGGCTGGAGCAGCAGGAGCAGCTGAGGGAGCTGGGGGGGCTCAGCCTGGAGAAAAGGAGGCTCAGGGGGGACCTTCTGGCTCTGCAACCCCCTGACAGGAGGGGGGAGCCGGGGGGGGTCGGGCTCTGCTCCCAGGGAACAAGGGACAGGAGGAGAGGGAACGGCCTCCAGCTGTGCCAGGGGAGGCTCAGGTTGGACATCAGCAGGAATTTCTCCATGGAAAGCATGATCAGGCATTGGCAGGGGCTGCCCAGGGAGGTTTGGAGTCCCCACCCCTGGAGGTGTCCCAGGAAGGCCTGGCCGTGGCATTCAGTGCTCTGGGCTGGGGGACAAGGTGGGCATCGGGCACAGGGGGGATCCATGGGCTGGGAGGGCTTTTCCAACCTCAAGATCCTGTGATTCTATTCTGTGATCCTGTTCTCTGACTTTATCCCACGACTCCATCCCCTCCTCTCTCCCCGCAGGCAGCCCCCAGGAGATGCAGTCGCCCTCGGCGGAGGTGCCCCCTCCGCAGCCGCCCAGCCCCGAGCTGAAGGACACGTCCTAACCCCGCCCCGGGGGGACTTTGCTGACCAGCGGAGGGAGGAGGGGGCTGCGGGGCACCAGCCCAGCTTTCCTGGCACGGCCGGAGTCCGCTGGGATTCCCTCGGTGCTGCCGCAGCCCAGACCCTGGAGTGCCACCCCCGCCACGGGGGAGCGGCGGGCGCGGTGGGGACGCGGTGGGGACCTGCCGTGACAACGGGGCGATTCCCACCCACGCCCTGGGCCAGGACTCGGAGGGGGGAATTTTTTTTGCCTCTCCAGGGGGAGGAATATTTTTCTTCTGGGGCATTTGGCGGAGCCGAGCGCGGAGGGGTCCCCGGGGGGGCCCTCCCGGCCGCAGGAGCAGCCACGGTGTTTCTTGCTGAGTGTGGTGTTCACTGTGATGTTTTTGGGTACCACCTCGTCTCCTGGCTGTTCTTCTGGGGCGTGTGGGAGCCTTTCTCAAGAAGGGGGAGCACGACACAACCTCAGCGGCCCCCCCGGCCCTTAAGCAACCCCCCCCCTGCAGCCAGCACGTCGCTGAGGGTTCCCACCCGGGGTGGTCTCTGCTCCTGGGTATGGGGAGAGGGGTGATTTTGGGGGGTGGGGAGCAGGGCGATGCTGTTTGGATCATGCCCAGCCCCCCATGCCAGGGGCACCCACGGGTCCCCACGCTGGGTCCCCTCCCGCAGCCCTGAGATTGGGGGAAGCAGCGGGGCCAGCGGGGTCCTGCGGCGTTCGGGGATGCGAGAGACACGGAGAGGGGCTTTCCCGGCCTCTCCCAAATCCCCTGCTTCTGCCAGCGGCGGGGATGGGACCCTCCTGCCCGGGCACCGAGGGGCTGAGGGAGGATTCACTGCCGGCTCTGCCCGGGCCAGGGGCTCGATGCCCGGGATGCCGGAGCCGGGCAGGGCGGTTGGACGTGGAGCTGGACCCATCCCATCCCGGGTGGTCACCTATAGCTGTCGCTGTGGGACCAGCAAAGCCCAAGTCCCCTCTCTCTGGTCACCGCCCCGGCGGTGGCCGGGACAGGGAGAGCTGTGCGGGGCCACCCGCAGGGACACACCGCACCCAGCACCCCGGGGGGGCGGGCAGCTCCCGGGCACTGTGTCCATCGCTCGGAGTGGGGGCCAGTCCCGGGTGGAACAGAGCGTGGGGTGTGGGAGGGCACCTGTGTGCGTGGACATCCATGTGCGTGTGCATCCATGAGCGTGGGCACCCGTGTACATGGGCATCCGTGTGCGTGGGCATGTGCAGAGCCATCCATGTGCAGGGACTACGTGTGCAGGTGCGAGGGGATCCACGGGCACCCATCTACATGGGCATCCATGTGCATGTATGGGTGTGCATCCCTATGCGTGTGCATCCATGTACGTGTGCATCCGTGTGCACGTGCGTGCTCATGTGTGGGCACCCGTGTGCAGGGATATCCATGTGCATGCGCATCCGTGTGCGTGTGCATCCATGCACGTGGGCATCTGTGTGCATGGGCATTTGTGTTCCTGGGCACCCATGTGCACAGGAATCCTTGTGTGTGGGCA